CTGATAAATGCTTGATATAAAAGTGATGATTTGAACTTCACGAGTAATATTAGGGGTTGATTATTACAAGAGTGCTTGCAAGTAAATTATATAGGGATGTATTTCCAACTCCAAATATTTAGATGTGGATGAAATTTTGAGAGCCATTGAGATTAGGAGGTGACAAAGCATTGGAAAACTATGAGTATCAGGGAGGTTATCGATAACTGCTATGTTGGGGAAGTTCAACTTTTATCAATAGTTTGTATCGCTTTTAGGACAGAGTGCGACCCGTAAAGAAAGGCTATAGAAATAATTGAACTTTATACATTAAACAAGTGATATTATTATATCCTCTATACAATAAACATTGCTATGATTTCATGCTTACAACATACATGTGACACTGCAATCCTGATTTTTATAATACATGTACCTGCTCTATTATCATGTTATTTATTATGCTAGCATGTTATAATTTGTTTGAAAAGTTTCATGCGAGCTTACACGTTTATTTTTCATGTATAAAATCTTATGTTAACTCTGGTTATTTCTATGAGCTCGTTGTTGTTCACACTTCATTTTCGCCTTCAAGAAAGAGGTTGCCAGCACCAACGCGAGTAGCCAAGTGTGTATTTGTACAACTTTTGCACAATAATTTTGAGAGCTTCTATATATGTTTTGAGTACGTAATTTTTTATATTAAATTTCGCAGCACTGTATATTTTCATGTTTTGGATTTCATACTTCCGAGTATGTATTTGAAATGCAATATATCATATATGTTGTGGAGATCTAATTCGACTAATTCATCACTCACTATGTCCTGATTATAAAATTCAGCGAGTACTATTGAGAGTTTGCCTGGCCAAATTGTCAGCCTCAGTCACATCACGATTGACCCTACCAGGGGGGTTAGTTGGTATGTTTTATATTCTGGAATTGTTGCAATTTTTCTTTTCTCTTGGTATTCCTAACGATGACTAGGGTTTGTCGAAAGACGATCTAACTCTTGAATAGTAGATCTTTGGATTCATTGGTAATAATCAAATCAGCCCTCAATTAAATTGCCTTACATCTTTATTGCAATTTATCTGTTGTTTGTTGGCAGTTTGTCATTCCAGATCATATCATTTCTAATATAATTCCCAAGGAAGATAGACTAACCCCAAAAGACAAATTGAATTTTGGATTGAATTGCAACCAGGAACTTTAACAATACTCAAATCTCATTACATAATAGTTTCAAAATCATTGCAAGAATTAATACGAAAAAGATTAATTAAATGAAATATTTTGCATTGGAATACAATTATATTTTTTGTTAAAATGAAATATTGATCAATGAGAATACAAATAGATTATAAGATAGAATAAATAATTAATTAAAAGTAAATATCCATTACTAAGAATTGAACATTTGAAAGGAGCTATTGTGTTCTATAATTGAGACCAGAATTTTATCAAGTTAGAGTTAAAGAAGCAAAGAAAATCAAAACAACATTATGAATAGATATGATCATTATGACTTTTCAATAATGCTGACTAGATCAATGCACCTGCAATTTTTATGTATTTTAAGATCAATTTTTTACACCATATTAATCAATTTTATATCATATTCATTAAAGATATTTTGATATACACTAACACTGATAAAAACTATGTTTGAAATTTTGAGAAAAATTTTAGAATTATTGAGAAAGAATTAGTTAGGAGAATTTTTTAAATATGATTTTTTTTTTAAACTTTACATTGCTAGGACAAAATAAATAGTGAAAAAGTTTAGTGGATTCTCAAAGGGTGGGTAATTCTAGAATTATTAACATCAAAGAATGTGATGGAGGTTCCTAATTTTCTAATTTTAGTTGAATAATACAGGAGATTTATAAATAGATTTTCAAAAATAGCTTTGCAATTCAAAATAATAATAAAGGATGTTAAATTTTTAATGAACAAAATGTGAAAAAAGTTATCAAGAAATGAAAAAACACCTGACAACTGCATCAGCATTAACAATTCCATCAAGCACTAAAAGATTTCAGAATACATTCATGCACCTATTAAAGAACTAGGATGCATTCTAAAACAGAATGAAAAAGATAAATCCCTATGCCTTGAGACATGAGAATCCTCATGAAAAAAATAATAATATCCAACTAGTGATTTAAAATCAACAGCTATAATTTTGGTTTAAGGATTTTCAGACAATATTTATATGGACAGAAAAGAGAAATAATTGTTGATCGGTAATTTTTAAAATATATTTTAACATGGAAAGAATCAAATTTGAGATAGAGATGATAGCTTAAATTTGTTAAATTTGATGATCAGGATATAAAATACAGTTCAGAAAAAAAACAGATATAGTAGTTAATGTTTAGAGTCGAAAATCCACACGTTTAAGAATACATCCTAAGTCTTTTATAGTTGTTTAGGAATACATCCTATAGTTCAAAAGGCATGCTATAAATTTATCCCAAAAACTATGACCATTTTTAGCACATTTCAAAAATTATCAGAATTTTTTTATAAATATATGGCTCTTTATTTTGATCAATTTAATATGTAGAAGTATATATAAATAAATGATTTTTTTAGCTATAATGAATTAACTTTTTACTATATTATGTTTCTAACGTTTTTAAGTAAATATTTTGTGGCCAATTTTTTTTTTTCGCCACTGTTTCGTGGCATGCATAATGGCAACCAATTGGAGAGCTAAGATGAGTGAATGGATAGTCATAAGAATTTATAGACATATTTATTTATTATTAATTACTCCTAATACTTATCCACTTAAGCCAATCCATCCTTATTATGTAGCTCTGGTTGAAGCTGAAATAGAAAGGAAATATAAGGGGGGTAGTGCAGGCAGTGAAACAAATTAGGAACTAGAGAGAAAAAAAAAAGGAGAAAAGGAGAAGAAGAAAAGAGAAGAAGAGAAATAAAATAAGAGAGAAGAAAAAAAGAAGAGAAAAAGAGGGAAAGGATGGGAGCGGCATGGATAAAAAATAACTAAGCAAGAAAAAGAAGAGAATTGAAGGACAAGGAAAAAAAAAGAGAAGAATATTACATAGGTAGAGAGGAGGAAGAGAAAAAGAATAGAAGAACACCAAGAGAGGAAAAGGGAATCTAGAAATTGTTATTAGTATCAAACTAATTACAGTGCATTAAATATTAACTTTTAAAATTAATTAATTATAATTAATTACTTAAACATTTGATAATTTTTTTTAATTAATACATTAAATATTGAATTTTAAATAATACGTTTAATTGCAGATAGGTATATGTATTATTTATAATAAAGTTTTATTTATGTACTTATAAAAGCTTCTCTTGCTTTAAAATTGATGCATCTCATAAATCATGTTTATAATTATAATGCTCATGTTATTTTAAGAAAATCAGCATCCATTTATTATTTTTTTGTTGTATTTTAAATCTTATATTAGAATTTTTTTATCTTACTAAGCATATAGCTCATCAGATATCATTGTTTATTAATTTTATGCAAGAAAAAGGAGCACGTACGTACACAATAGCCAGGAGGCCCAAAATTTGTTCTATATGTTAAATGTTCTGATTTCGGATAATGATAAAATAAAAGAAATACATGATATTAATTAAAAATTTATAGTAGGTATAAATTGTTTATGAAGTTTCTTAGAAGATCTGTTGTATAATTTGATGATGTAAATTATATATGCTTTCATATTAATGACTACTAAATTTATTTAAAAGATTATGAAAGTATAGATGTATTTTATTACAACCATGACAGAATATTATTTTGCTCACTCGATCTTGCTTACTAAAGTCAGGTGGGCGTTGGTGAAAAATATGTTTGACAAAATTGTCCGCCTCTATTGCCTCTCCTTTTGATCTGAGAGAGGGTAAAAATAAGAAGTGACGCACTTAGAAGAAGGATGAGTTGTTGATCATCGTTGATCACAAGAGAGTGAGAGAGACTACAGCTAGAGAAGTTGGTGATTGGTCAAAAAGGTTGGCCAAATTTTTAAAAGCATTACAACAGGATGTGATGTGGTCATTAATTTGGAATCTAATGATGGTGTTCAGAGGTTGAGATTAAAGGTGAAAAGCAGCTTGGCAGCTTTGGATCTTTGAGAAAGCAGAGTGAGGAATTTTGTGGGAGAGAACAATAGCAAGAAGCACGAAGGCATGTCTGCACTCTAACAAGTAAGGAGCAAGCTCGAGTGAAGGGAAGAGGGAAGAAGAGAGGTGCTAGAGGGTGGAGGCAAAAGCAACTTTAGCGTTAACAGTGAGGGTGAGAGGAGCAGCAGCAGGATACGGAGGAGGTTTAGGGTTTTTTCCTTAAAGCTACCATCAAATTTTAAATCTTAACTAAACAAATGATTAAGAAAATCTAACATCATACATGTAAGCCAAACTGAACTAAACAAGAATTATATTGTAAAGTATCTGTAAATAAGAAAGAATGAATTCATATTATTATTTGAAAAAACACAAAATACAAACTTATATAAAAGCTCAATTTAACATTGATGTGGGGTAAACAAACAATCAGCTGATAAACCTTAGGGAACAATACTTTAGTGGAGCAAGTCACAAAAGCTTGAAAACCATAGAATATAAAATCGTAGTATAGTGTTCTCCTGAACACAAACACCACTGCTATTGTCATCATTGCAAACAAAATATCTTTGATGGATTTATGACATAATATGAAAGTAAAAGTTTATGCTGGGGTTATGGATAAAGAAAATAGACAAGTTGATGTAATACAAATCTTGAAAAGTTTAAAAGAAACGAAAATGTCTATATAAAACTTATCATCTGATTCATTATAAAATCCACGGTGAATCCCAACTATCAAAAGGGTGCAGTTTATAAGGTCATGAATTAGGAGATCATTATAGAGAACAATTACCTGAACTTGGCCCATCCATTCAGACGCAAATTAGAAAACAAAAGGAGTGGCTTTATTTCTTAATTATGCATCTAAGTATGATTAAAACTTATGATGGCAAACATACCTTTGTTACATTGGGATGATCAAGTTTATACCAAACTGAAACTTCCTGTGTAAAAGCAGCACGCAATTGAGCAAGTTCAGCTTCTGATCTACTGCTTTCCTCTCCCCAATCAAGTAATTTCACTGTTTAGAAGAGTGAACCATCAAAATTCAGTGTGAAGTCTAAAGGCAGATTCAACACATGCAAGTAAAACAAAAATAAAATAAAACTCTATGTTAATAGGAATGTTAAAAAGTGAGAACAGAAGAATAGATGTCTTATTTAACAATAACTACATTAAATCCCAGCTTCTTGCTCGAGTGGCTGTCCACTACACCATGTTTTATGATATTTCAAGCACGATCAGAAAAAAGTTAACCAAAAGAGCCAATGCAACATTTGAAAAAATAATCTGCCTTTCATGTATTCGGTTCTTTCAAAGCATCGCAAACCTTAAAATCCATGCAAAACAAACCTACAAACATCAGATATAAAAGAAAAAAGAACTAGAGGTTCGACTATTACCAAAATAGTATGAACAGCGTAATAATATCCCGTTTAAAAAAGTTAAACAGCGAAAAAAGAAAATTAATAATGCCGTTCTATTAAACAGACATTAACTGGTTCACTAATAAAGTGGAGTCAAATGGGAGGCGGTATTGAGGCGAAATAGAGGAAGATCAAGGCGAAAAAGGGAAAAGAGATGCACGGTTGAAGAAGAAAGTAGCGATGATGCCCGAGCGATCTGCAAATGAGAGCAAAGCTGGTGGATATCTAGCATGAGTTCGTGCGATTGCGTATGCGAGCGAGCTCGAGCCAATCACAAGCAAAAGGATCTCGTGAATCGTGGCTCAAGTAAGTACATCTGTGAGGGAAAATAACAGATGGGAGAGTGAGTAAGAGCATACCCAAGGCGAAGACATATGAAAAACCAAGTAAATTCCGGAGTAGGCCGGACCCTTTAATTTGAAACAGCGTGTGATCGCAAAGGAGAATGTAAGCAAGATATGAAGTTCGATCGAGTTTGGGCATATTTTCTTTTATTTCAATTTATAAAAGCAAAATTTTCTTCTATAACTATAATGTAGTTTGTGAGTATATGTCATAAATGCATTAGCATAAATCTCGAAAAAATTTAATGGACTATGGGAGAAAAATGCAGTTAAGGATGGCCTATAGAAAAAAGTCAAAGGTCACCCCAGTGAAAAGCTAAAAGGCCAGATTAACCAAGAACTCCCTTGAGCGGGATCTGAAACCGACTGAACAAAGGTCCTCCAAGTCAAAGATCAAGGACATTGAACCAAAAGAAGGTATCAACCCAACTCTTATGCTAACATCACTAGATATTTCTCAAGAGCCCCCAAGGCCCTTCATAAGTCCTAAGGTTATCATAACACACTCCACGAACACTCCAGGTAGACCTCCTGTTGAGAGGTAGGCTACTTGTCGAATTGCGGTTCTTTACCCTCTATCTGACAGCCTAGTCTTATCCTGGCTAGAGGAGGTTCTCGACTAGGGATCTACAGTCAGTCGCCAAACCATAGTAGCCGACTAAGCAATGATCCGGATCACCGAAAGACAACTAAAGCCGACCAGCTACCCAACTCAGCAGAGTTGGCCAAACATGTCATATCAATCCAAGGACTACCAACCTCAGAGTAATAGGATAGCGAAGTCATAGACTCATTTATTTTTTATATCTAAAATACCTTATAATACTCCCGTAAAAATAGGGGCAAGCATGTAATTGTACATTTTATACTCCATTATTTATAAATATCTCTCATTCTCTCATATTCTATGTTTTATTAGCTTCAGATTCAACATCCTAAAAGGTGAGGTGTGCATAGATCATGCCAGCAAAAAAAAAGAACACAACACGGAGAAGAAACCCACTAAAGTGATGTGTAAACATGGAGTGCATCTAGAAGTTTCATGCAAAAAACAGATCTAGGATATGATGTACTAGATGATGGGCCAAATGTTTCAAGTCATTAGAGAAGCATTAGCGAGAATAAAGGAACAAAACCCCAAGATGGAACCAGCATCCAACAGTTGAAGGGCACACTTGCCTGAAGAAATAACAGGAGACTATTGGTACCAGAACAATTTTGGGTCAGCATTGATGGACAGACAGTGATTCAGACGCACTCAAGCTCCCTGCTAGCCAAGGAATGCATTCTTTAGGCAGATTTATACTGAGAGAAAATGCATTCTCTGGCTAGTAAGGGGTCTCAGTGCGTATGAATCACTGTCTGTCCATCAATGATGATCCAACATTGTTCTGGTACTAGGAGTCTCCTGCTATTTCTTCATGCAAGTGTGCCTTTTGACTGTTGGACATCGATTCCTCCTTGGGGTTTTGTTCCTTTATTCCCACTACTTCTATAATGACTTGTAACATTTGGTCAATCATCTAGTCCATCAACTCCTAGATCTGTTTCTGCATGAACTCTCAGGTGCACTCCATGTTCACAAATTTCTTTAGTGGGTTTCTTCCCCATTTTTGTGATCTTTTGTTTTTTTCCTGGCATGATCTCTCATATCCTACAAAAGTCGGACTTATCCGACTGACCAACTCACCACCTTTGAGTCGATCATCTGTCTGTTGAGGTTCACTGACGCTCTGGAATGTTGCCTCTTTTTCACCACGCAAAGAGAGTAGGCCATCAAGTGGTTCAATGGTGTGTCGGCCGGAGTAATCACCTCCTTTCCAATTTCAAGAGGATGTTATTGGCACAGTTCGCCAGCACCCAAAAGCCATAGAAGAGTTCACAGGCCCTCCTGCATATCAGGAAGGGGCAAAATGAGTCTCTGCTCGTTTGTCATGCAATTTCAGATGGAGATGCTAGAGCTTCAGGATCTAAAATCCGTTATAGCACATGTTGTTCTAGCTCAAGGGTTCAAAGAGGGACCCCTCCGCTACATCCCGGGTCTCTAGCGGCCATAGATCCTTGCTAAATTGTTGGAACTAGCCAACAATCATATCTCAGCTGAAAAGTATAATTCCACCCTTGCATCAACTAGGGTAGAAGCAGCCTCTAGTCGTTCAAAAAGGAGGGCATCGAGAGAAGCAAACGGAGACCGTGGGAAGACTCGTGTCCTTCTGCTCCGCCATGGACAACGGACCGCCCCAGAAAAAACAAGGGGGCCAATAGAAATAACAATAGAGGAGGTCAGTCAACGTACACTGACCCACGGTCGGCTCATTACCATGAGCAGTCGTTGAATGACCATTTAGTGCCAAAGGCCACTCCGCTGAGAGTCTAGATGGCGAAATTACTAGAAGTCATCCAAAACAAAGAAAATTTCAAGAAGGCACCAATGAGAGTTGGAAATTTTCTCAGCAAAACGAAGAAATATTGCACCTATCACAGAAACCAAGGCCATGATACAAAGGAATACAGGCACCTCCGAAGCCTATTCAAGGATCAATAAGAGCTGCAAAGCTCAACAAGTTTGTGGAGCCTTGAACTGTGACTCAGAGGCATGAGAAGGCTCCAGTAGAAGAAATCTCGGATGAGCCAATTCCGATGAATGTCATCCATATCACTGGGATAGTGACAGTCATTTTCGGGGGAGTGAGAGAATCCTCTCGACAAGCCAGTCAGCAGAGGCTCTGATAGGGAGAACTTTGTGCAGCCACTTTCGCCCCAAAGCACAGCTCCCATCCACCGATCACATATCCCCAATGGGGAACCATACAATGATGTCATCATCGTGCGGCGATGATTGACAATTACTAGATAGGCAGCATTCTTGTCAACACTAGTAGCACTGAGAATATCTTATTCAAGTTAGTGTTCGATAAAATGAGCCTCCAAGCCAACCGATTGGTGGCACTAGCCGGCCAACTTTACTGCTTATCTGACGAGAGGAAGGAGGCATTTGGAGTAATTGCATAGCCACTCACATGGGATAAAAGTGAAAAGTAATTCTCATACATGGAAGAACTTGTGGTAATGGGCTCGCCGCCAACCTATAACATGATCTTCGGTTTTCCTTCGCTAAACAATTACTTGGTTGTGGTCTCTACATACTACGTTGCAGTGAAAATTCCTGACGGTGGAGAAATCATTACCGCTCGAGGGAACTTGGAGCAATCTCGGACCTGCTACCACCAGGCGATCCGGAGCATGGAGTAGCAACCACTCGACCTCTAAAACACATGTGAAGGGTTCTCAAGACAAATGAGATCATCCTCGATGTACCTGCGGCTGACGGGAAGATCGGTAATTTTTTTTTTCTAATAAGTGAAAATTTTGATGGATGGATGAAAGACACACTAGTTCAAAACCTCCGGAAGCATCGAGACGTCTTTGCTTGGTCGACAGCAAAGATGCCAAGGATCCCGTTTAATGTCGCCTACCACCGACTCAACGTGAATCCAACCACTCGATCGATGAAGCAAAAGATCATGTCCTCAACGATGAATCTGGCGGAACAATTAGGGAGGAGGTCCAGAAGCTGAAGCATGCAAGTTACATCTGAGAGATGCAATACCCGATGTCAATCTCCCATGTAGTCATGGTGCAAAAATCAAATGAAAAGTGGAGGATGTGCATGGACTTCACCAACATGAACTTTGTCTCCCTAAAGGACAGCTATCCATTGCCACGAATCAACGCGTCAATCAGTGGTCAACCACACCATAATGAGCTTCTTGGACACCCTATCAGATTACAATCAAATAAAGATGCACTTGGCTATTGTAGACAAGACATCCTTTATCACTAGTGAGGGTGTGTATTGTTATAATGTATTGTAGACAAGACATCCTTTATCACTAGTGAGGATGTGTATTGTTATGATGTAATGTCCTAGCTTAAAAACATCGTGGCTATCTACCAGAGCCTTATAGATGTATTTTTTTTAAGAAAAAAAAAATGTTAAAGTGTATGTAAATGATGTATTGGTTAAAAGTCAATTGGTCGAACAACACATAAAAAAAAAATACGTGAAACCCTTTGAAAATTTAACATGAGAATAAGTCCATTAAAATGTACCTTCAGAGAATCCAAAGGCAAGTGTCTTGGTTACCACTTGACCCCAGAGAGAATAAAAGCCAACTCAGATAAAATGCAGACATTGCTGAACAGGCGTTCTCCCCAAATACAAAAGTCCAAAAAGTTGGCCGATATGA